GACTGTGGGATAAGCGGCGAGGTCAGGGAACAGGTACGGCAGGATGAGGCGGCTAAGTGCAGCAGTGGCAGGGGAAGAGTAGCGTGCAACTACAGCGTCGTACAAGGTCCTAGCACTCTTGTACTGACTAAAGTGTGCACGCTCAGCGGTGGGCAAGTGGCGGCGCACAGCAAGACGTGCAGCATCATCGCGTGTGGCCCACTCTGAGCGAACAGTGGCGTCAGCATGAGCAGCACGGGCAGGAGAGGCACTAGAAGTGAGGTCAAAGAGGGAGAGACCGTCTGCCCTATCGCACTGTAGGAAAAGCTGCAGGTCATCTACCCAGACGTCAAAGTCAATGGCCCAACCCTCAGAGTTAAAAGCAAGGACACTGGGGGTAGCCATGACAGCAGAAGACTAGAAGCGCGAGCAGCAGGCTAAGGGCAGCGCAGTAGTAGAGGTGCTGCTCTTACCGGGCAGGCGAGAAGGACCAAGTGTATCGGACAGGGCGGCTCGGACGGCTCGGCGGCTCGGCAGCAACAGCAGCTCGGCGACTCGACGACTCGGCGGATCGGGCAGCTCGGGCGGCTCGGCGGCTTGGGTGGCTTGGCGGCTCGGGCGGCTCAGCAGCTCGGGCGGCTCGGCGGCTCGGGCGGCGCGGCTGCTGCAGGTACAGTGGCGACTGCTGCTACAGGGACGGCGGTGGTCGCCGCTGCAGGAGGCGGCGACGGCGGGGCGCTATAGGAGGCGGCGACGGCGGCCGCTGCTTCAGGGACGTCGGCGGCGGCCGCCGCTGCAGGGACAGCGGCGACGGCCGCTCCTCTAGGGACGGCGGTGGCCGCTGCTGTAGGGACGGCGGCGGCGGCCGCTGCTGCACAGACAGCGGCGTTCGCTGCTTTAGGGACGGCGGTGGCGGCTGCTGCTGAAGGGACGGCGGCGGCCGCTGCTGGAGGCGGCGACAGCGGGCCGCGAAGGGGCCGTAGGGGGGGGCTGCGAAAGCGGCGCGAGGGGCCGTAAGGGGCCGCGCGAGGGGCCGTAAGGGGCCGGAAGGGCAGCGCGAGGGGCCGACAGGCGGCGCAAGGGGCCGCAAGGGCGGCGCACGGGGTCGACGGGCGGCGCGACGGGCCGACGGGCGGCGCGAGGGGCCGCAAGGGCAGCGCGCGGGGCTGTAAGGGCAGCTCAAGGGGCCGTGAGAGGGGCCGCTAAGGGCGGCGTGACGGTAGGGAGGGCACGCGGGGCGCGACTCGGGCAAAAGCGAAGCGCGCTACGGGCAAGACAAAAAACATTTCAAGGTGGGCCCTAGAAAGCGTTCCCACTAGGGAACCTGCTCTGAAACCATGAGAAGAAACGAGGAAAATGGGATGTGACTAAGGGAAAGTTGGGTACAAGTGCAAACCCTAGAAAGCTGTACCCCATATGTGCTACCCCACTATAGCCTACAGGAGCTAAGTCATATAAATCTGACAAACAGACTATAGCATATAAGTTCGACACACCCCCATAGGCAAGGTGGGGGAGAACAAGGGGTCACAAGAACAGTCAAGAGAAGCAAGGCAAGACCAGGGTGGATCACAACGTCACCACACAATCTGAGCACAAGCATAAGGCCAGAAGGCCAGTTCACATGAAGAGTTATACATCAAGATAAACAAGCAAGGCAGTGATTCAACCTAGCAAGGGTAAGCATGCAACTGCACGTATATATAGATCACAGTACAAGCAAAGTCAAGAGGTGAGCAAGTGAGGCCAAGTAGGCACAAGACCTAGCAAAGTACAAAAGCGCTGATGATCATAAGGCGGAAGTGCCTTGGTACAGATATCAGCAGTGTTGGCCTCAAAGGCCACGTACGCTAGGCGCAGCTGACCGCGCTGCTGCAGCTCACGAACAAGGAAGTAACGAAGACCAATGTGCTTCGTTTGCGTGACCTATGAGGACCACTAGACGTCGCCCTCCAAGCACTAGCCCCATGCCCGACGTACTGCACAAGTAGTGCAACACCCTCTTCGTTGCAGCCATGTGCTCTGGTCGGTGTCTTCCAGGAGCCACATAGCGTGCCAAGATGCTAAGAGGGTATGCTAGGTCAGGTCGTGTGCAGGTCATCAGGTACATGAGGCAGCCAACAAGCTCTGGGTATAGGCCACTCGGCTCTACGGACTCATCCGAAGGTAGAGCTGAGAGCGAGTGGCGAGTAGACAGAGGAGTGGCCTGAGGCAAGGAGTACGTGAAGTCGAAGCGCTGAAGGACCTGCTGCACCATGTGTGACTGAGTCAGGGTAATGGTGCACTGTGCTCTGTCCCGGGTGATCTGCAAGCCAAGGTAGCTGCGCAGCTCACCCAGGTCTGTGCACGTGTGTCTCTTCTGCAGCTCGGACTTCACATGGGCTAGTCCAACAGTGTCAGCTGTGGCAAAGACCAAGTCGTCGACGTACACGATGATGTAGAACGGTGGCAAAGAGGTGCGTAGAAACAGCGACGGGTCGGCAGTAGAAGGAGCAAACCCAAGAGCCGCAAGTGTAGTCCTCAGTGTGTCGTGCCACTCACGGGGCCCCTGGCGGAGACCGTAGACTGGCCGTCGGAGGCTCCACTGGGTACCAAGAGGGAACGACCCAGTGAAGCCAGGTGGGCGGCGCAGCTAGATCTCCTCGTGCAGGCTGCCCTGCAAGAAAGCTGTGCTGAAGTCAAGAGAGTGAAGCTCGTAGTCGCGCTGAGCGGCTATGTGCAGCAGCACCCTAAGAGTGGTCATCTTTGGGGTGGGGGAGAAGGTCTGAAAGCAGTCAACTCCCTCCCGCTGACTAAAGCCTCGAGCCACGTAACACGCCTTGAAGACAGGCGGAGAACCCGGCGGCCGCTTCATCCTGAAGATCCACATGCCACTGACGATGTTCGCCCCAAGTGGGGGAACCTCGTCGACGTAGGTGCCTGTGGACTTCCAGGAAGCCATCTCTGCGTCCATGGCTGACTGCCACTGTGAGGAGTAGGGACCCTCAGTCGCCTCAGCGTACGATCGAGGAGTCGGGATGTCTGGTGCATCCGAGTCTCCCTCAAGGGCAATCAGCGTTGACACGAGATGAGGCAAAGCAGCAGCAAAACACTGGAAATCCTCCTGCCTGTCCTCAAAGACGTCTGTGCTGAGAGCACACTCACCCCCGACGGACGGAGGACAGACAGACTCAGACTCAGCAACAAGAGTAGCAGCGTAGTCTAGACGACAGCGAGCAGCAAAGTCGACAAGCTCAGCAACTAAGGTAGACGCAGCAGTGGACTCAAAAGAAGGGTCAGAGACAACAGTAGCCAGGAGACGCGTGACAGTAGGACTAGCAGCACGAAGAGAGTCAGACTCAGGGTCAGCAAGAAGAGGAAGAGAGGACTCTGGAGGAGACGGCAACGGGACACGCAGAGGAGCAATGGAAGGACACAGTGCCATCTAGTGTGTGGCGGGGACCGCAGGAGGACGCGGACGCGGAGCACGACCACTAGCGCGAGCAGCACGAACAGGCGACGCAGGACGAGACGCAGGCTCACGACGCTCAGCAAGACCTGCAGTAGGGCCAGTGTAGGGAGAAGGAGCAGGCAGGAGGGAGGCGGGCTATAACTGTGACCGCGACTGGACAGGCTGTGGACATGCTAAGGGAGGAGCAGCACCAGTAGAGGGCGGGAGACTAAGAACCTGCTCAAGGAGCGGAACGAAGTACGGCCTCGGCCGTGTAGTGCCTCCAGAACCAGCAGGGACAGCACCAGTACCCCCAGCGGGAGCACCAGCGCCAGCAGCACCTCTAGCTCCACCGCCACCTCCAGCACCCTCAGAAGCACCAGCGCCAGCAGAACCACCAGCGCCAACACCCCCAGTAGCTCCAGCTCCAGTAGCACAAGTAGCACCTCCAGCAGGACTCCCAGTCCCAGCAGCTCCAGAACCGACAGGACAAGCACCTCCAGGACTAGCAGCAACAGTAGTACCTCCAGCTCCAGCAGCACGGCTCCAGCGCCGAGCAAACCACTCGCGCAGCTCCTGCGGAGAGACTAGCTCCCGTCTCGACGAAGCACCGCCAGAGGCCACACGAGTAGACCCAGCACCCCCAGGCTCCGCACCCCCAGGCTCAGCACCCCCAGGCTCCGCACCCCCAGGCTCAGCACCCCCAAACTCAGCACCCCCAAGCTCAGCACCCCGAGACTCAGCACCCCCAGGATCCGCACCCCCAGACCCAGCACCCGCAGGCACAGCGCCCCTAGCAGCACCAGAGTCAACAGCAACCTTGACAGGCTCAACTGCGTCTACCTGGGGCACACCTGACGGGGCAGGACCCTGAAGGGGGAGGGGGTCTACCAGGGGAGGACCTGGCGCAAGGAAGAGCGGCGGCGGGGGGAGGGGCGCAGTGCGGTAGGGGAAGAGACGGTGGTGGGCATTGTAAGCTATGACGATGCCATGGATGTCATCCGTGTGGAGCAAACTGAGGTAAGGCACCAACTCGTCAAAGGTGACGTCCTGGGAGGACAGAATACGGCGCGAGGTGGGGTGGTAGAACTGCCAACCAGGCGTGTCTGGGGGGAAGCCAAGGAAGACGCAGGGAACAGCACGGGAGGGCAACTTGTCCACAGACAAGTCGCGAACAAACGCCCGAGATCCCCAGACAGGAAACGCATACGCATCGCCAACCTTCCCCGTCCACCGCAAGGTGGGGGAGGTCTCTGGCAAGGAGACCCGGGGCTGAAGGTTGAGCTGATGCGCCGCGTACTGAACTGCAAACGGCCACAGAAAATGGGGAGCAGCCGCATGGATCATGGACGTACGAGCGACGTCCATGACCATGCCAATGCGGCGCTCAGCAATCCCATTTTTCTGTGGAGAGGCTGGAAGCGTGAAGGTCTGGCGGATGCCCTGTGCACGACAGAAGGCTCCCAGACGAGCAGAGGAAAACACCCCGCCTCTGTCAGAGTGCAGACGCAGAACAGGAAAGTCCGAGCAGAAACTCTCTCTGAGCCGGAGACGAGCCTCGCGGATCCAGTCGATCAACACCTCAGTGACATCACCCTTGCTGCGCAGTGTAGATGGCCAAGTGTCGGCCTGTCCGAGCACACGTACAGTGGGTCACCCGCTGACTCGCAGGTGTGAACTGGTCAACCCCCCGATCCTGTAGATCAGCTCCACTCACCAAGTTTGTAGAGAACGAGGGGAGGTAGAGACCTGACAGGGTGCCAGAGGGGGCTGCCGGACACGGTAAGATAGTGGAGAAGCTAGCAAGGACAGGACCCCCAGAGGGGTCCGCCAGGGAGACCGCAACCGGCCGACTATGCGGCGTAAGCGTGGTGCGGTCTCGAAAGAAGGAGCGGGAAGCACCTGAGTCAAGGGTGAAGGTGTGCAAGGTCTGAGCCGACGCGGTATCTGAGAGAGCAGACTCACCAGCACCTGGGGCAGCGGACGCACTAGCACCTGAAGCAGTAGCCTCACCAGCACCTAGAGCAGCAGCCTTAATGCCCGGGTCAGGCGGAACACACAGGTAACAGTCACCCTCATCACTAGTAGACACAGCATACATGGCAGCAAGAATAGTATCAAAGTCAAGATCAAAGATAGCTACCCCCGCCCTAGACAGCTCTCCCCAGCGAGGGATCTCAGTGGCGTCACGAAAATGATGCCGCCAAGCGTCCATCAGGCGGCCGAAGCAGCGCTGGGTGGAGTGCGTGCCCCCGCACTGCTCACCAGCGCGGTCGCCTGTACGGAGGACGTAGGTGCAGGGACCAGTACCCCCACCCCGCTGACGCCCAGCGTACCACTCACGAAGCTGCTGAGGGGACATGGTCTCACGACCGCGCTGCTGCTGCTGGCGCGGACCACCACCAGAGCCACTCCTCTGCGCAGAGCCGCGACTAGCTCCACCGCCACCTTCGCCGCCTCCGCCACCTCCGCCGCCTCCGCCACCACCGCCGCCTCCGCTCCCTCAGCCACCACCGCCTCCGCTCCCTCCGCCACCACCGCTGCCTCCTCTGCCTCCACTGCTGCCACCGACACCTCCACCCCCGCCACCACTCCCACCACCACCCCCACCCCCTCCACTGCCTCCACCACCACCACCTCCACCGCCCCCACTGTCAAACACTATATATATTGTTATAGTTGTTTAGGCTACAGTGGGTTAGCCCATAGGGGGTACACATTTCTAGGTTTCCATATTTGTACTCATTTCATCCTTAGTCATTTCATTCCTTGTTCAACATGGTATAGAGCAGGTCCTTCCTAGGACCGTTTTTCCTAAGGGCCCACCACTACCTACATGCCTATCTACCTACCTACCCTAGGGCACCTCGGCGTTCACGCCTCTAGAGGCCCTGTAGGCCCCGCGCTGTTGCACCTAGAGGCCCCGAATCGGCCCCGCGCCTAACCCTAACGGCCCGCGCCGGCCCCGAGCTCGTCCCCTAGAGGCCCGCGTCGGCCCCGCGCCTACCCTAGAGGCCCGCGTCGGCCCCGAGCCTACCCCTAGAGGCCCGCGACGGCCCCGTCCTTACCCCTAGAGGCCCGCGACGGCCCCGTCTCTACCCCTAGAGGCCCGCGACGGCCCCGCGCCTACCCTAGAGGCCCGCGACGGCCCCGATCCTACCCCTAGAGGCCCGCGTCGGCCCCCCGTCCCTACCCCTATCAGCCCGCGTCGGCCCCGTCCCTACCCCTTTCGGCCCGCATCAGCCCCGTCCCTAACCCCACCCGCTCCCCGCGCTCACCCTTAGCCGCCTCGCATGGCCCCACCCAGACCGCGCCGCCCGCACCGAACAGCCCGGCCCTAACGGAACCGAGCCGCCCGAACCGAGCCGCCGGACCCGAGCCGCGCCGCCCAACCCGAGCCACCCGAACCGAGCCGCGCCGCCCGACCCGAGCCGCGCCGCCCTACCTATACCGAGCCGCGCCGCCCTACCTGTACCGAGCCGCGCCGCCCTACCTACCTACCCTACTGCTCCTACTGCTTTTACTACTGCTGCTACCATGGCTAGCCCTCCTGTGCTAGCCTTCGATGCTGAGGGCCGCCCAGTGAAGTTCGACACCTGGCTTGATGACCTACACCTCTTCCTACAGCTCACTGCTAAGGAAGACATCTCGCTGTACGATCACGCCCTAGGCCACGCTACTGCTCCTGCTGCTACTGCCGACAGCACTGCTCGCTCACAGTGGCAGACTCGTGACGCCCATGCTCGCTTCGCTATTCGCAACTCTCTGCCGATAGATGAGCGCGAGCACTTTGGGCAGCACAAGACTGCACAGGCCCTGTACACTGCTGTCGTTGCCCGCTACTCCTCACCGGCCTCTGCCGCTCTAGGCCGTCTCTCTCTTCCCTACCTGTTCCCCGACTTAGCTTCCTTTCACACTGTCGCTGACCTCATTACCCACCTCCGCACTAGTGAGGCTCGCTTCCGCGCCGCTATGCGTGATGAGTTCCTTGCCACGAACCCACCCCCGCTCTGGATCACTCTCTACCACCTAGTCACGCGCCTCCCTGACTCAATGCGCTCAATCAGGGACCACTTCCTCGCTCGCTACCCCACCGAGCTCACCATTGCCCTCCTCGAGAAGGAACTCCTTGCAGCCGAGACTAGCATAGTCGCTGTAGGTGCCTCTCGCGGTGACCCCCGTACCCCGTTCTTTGAGGGGTGTTCTCCCTCCCCCCTTCTTCCCTCTGTCGCCTCTGCTGCTGCTGTCGACCTCCTTGGTGCTGAGATGGTCGGGACTGCGTCTGCTTCGAGCGGGCGCCGCAGCGGTAAGGGCAAGGGGGGCAAGGGCGGTGGTGGTGACAGCGAGGGTGGCGGTGGTGGGGGAGGTGGTGGCGGGGGGGGTGGCGCGGGTGGGGGAGGGGGCAGCGGTGGTGGGGGTGGCGGCAGCGGCGGGGGAGGTGGCCGGGGCGGAGGAGGTGGTGGGGGTGGCGGTGGACGAGGCGGCGGCAGGGGTTGGGGTGGTCGAGGGGGTGGTGGCGGGAGTGGTGGTCGTGGAGGCACTGGCGGTGGCCATGGACAGCAGCACACTCCCTCGCCCCAGGAGGTCCGTGAGTGGTACTCTCTGCACGGGGGGGGGGGGGTGGCCTTAGCTGCACGTACGTCATTCGCACTGGTGACCGCACTGGCCAGCCGTGCGGGGGACCGCACGCCACACAGCGTTGCTTTGCTTGTCTGAGCGACGCTTGGCGTGTTCAGTTCCCTCAGGCCACTAAGCTGCCCCGCTGGCTTGATCTCCTGAAGAAGGGGATTGATATCTATGCTCTAGACTTTGATGCTATTCTCTCTGCCATGTATGTGATGTCTACTAGTGGAGAGGGTTCTGAGTACCTGAGTGTCCCGCCCGACCCGGGCATTAGGACTAGTGTGTCTGCTACCCCAGGTGCTGGTGAGGCTGCTGCTCTAGGTGCGTGCGTGTCTGCCCCCCCTGGTACGGTGTCGACTGCAGCACTGCACACCTTCACGCTGGATTCAGGTGCCTCTCGCTGTTTCTTTCGTGACCGCACTGCCCTTGAGCCCCTTGCTCGGCCAGTTGCTGTCTCCCTTGCTGACCCCTCTGGGGGTCCGGTCATTGCGACCTCCTCCACTGTCCTTCCCTGTCCTGCGGTCCCGTCGGGCACACTGTTAGGTCTCCACGTCCCCTCTTTCTCCACGAACTTGGTGGCAGGTTGTGCTCTCCAAGATGGGGGTGTTCACCAGTTCACCCCTGCCTACGAGCGTGTGACACACTGCACGTGTGCTCGTACGGGCCGCCACTTGGCTACCTTCACCCGGCAGCCGGGGTCGGACCTGTACACACCGACTACTGCCTCCCCTCAGGTCGCTGCGTCTGCGTCTGCGTTTGCGTCCGCGTCAGGTCAGCTGTCTGCCCCCTGCTCGTGTCGCTCTCTAGCGCACGAGACTGTCCTCTGGCACCACCGACTTGGCCACCGGTCTGTGCAGCGCCTTCGTGCCATGCACTCCCGGTACCTTGTCTCTGGTCTTCCTAGGGTCCTCCCTCCCCTCCCACCCTCGCCTGCTCCTCCCTGCCTTCCCTGTGTCGAGGGGTAGCAGCACGCCGCTCCTCGCTCCTCCTCGTTTCCCCCGACGACTGCTCCTTTGCAGACGCTCCACATGGACGTGTGGGGCCCAGCCCGCGTCCGTGGTCAGGGTCAGGAGAGGTACTTCATGATCGTTGTTGACGACTACTCGCGCTACACCACGGTCTTCCCCTTGCGCACCAAGGGCGAGGTCCCTGATGTTTTGATCCCTTGGATCCGCAGAGCTCGTCTCCAGCTCAGCGAGCGTTTCCGCTCGGACTTTCCTGTCCTGCGCTTGCACTCTGACAGAGGTGGTGAGTTCTCCTCCGACCTCTTGGCAGCCTACTGTGCTGAGCACGGCATTGAGGAGTCGTTCACGCTTCCGGCCTCTCCACAGCAGAATGGGGTTGCAGAGCGCCGCATTGGCCTGGTCATGGAGGTCGCTCGTACCTCCTTGATCCATGCGGCTGCCCCCCACTTTCTGTGGTCGTTTGCGGTCCGGTACGCTGCGCATCAGCTCAACCTCTAGCCCCGTGTCTCCTTGCCGGAGACCTCGCCCACACTGCTGTGGACGGGGGAGGTTGGCGATGCGTCGCGTTTCCGGGTCTTGGGATCTCGAGATTTTGTCCGCGATTCGTCTGCGGACAAGCTCTCCTCTCGTGCTGTTCCCTGCGTCTTCCTCGGCTTTGTTCCGGACGCGCCTGGTTGGCAGTTTTACCACGCCACCTCGCGCCGGGTCTTGCCCTCTCAGGACGTCACTTTTGACGAGTCTGTCCCCTACTACCGCCTCTTCCCCTACCGCACTGCCCCGCTCCCACCCCCGCCTCTCTTCCTTGCGCCAGGTGTTGCTGTCGTAGACCCCCTCCCCCCTCAGGGTGCCGCTCCCTCAGGTGTGTCACAGGTAGACCCGGTCGAGCCTGTTGAGGTTGCTGTCGACTCTCGTCCTGCTGGGGGTGCTGAGCCTGGGGGTGCGGACGCTGGGGGTGCTGAGCCTGGTGGTGCGGACTCTGGGGGTGCTGAGCCTCGGGGTGCGGACACTGGGGGTGCTGAGCCTGGGGGTGTTGTGCCTGGGGGTGCTGAGCCTGGGGGTGCGGTGACTGGGGGTGCTGAGCCTGGGGGTGCTGGGTCTGAGAGTTCTGACTCTGGCGGTGCTGGGCCAGGGGGTCCTACACCTGGACGAGACCTCTCGTCGGAGCAGTTGCGTGAGTGGTACTTACAGTACTGCAGCCTCCGATGAGGTACCTCTGGGACCAGGCGCTCTACGGAGACTGGTGCTAGTACTTCTCCTCCTAGTCAGGAGCTCCCCTCTCTTGAGCGGATCCGTGAGTGGTACGAGCGCCGTTGCACACTTTGTAGTGGCGCGCCTCGTCTCACGGACCCTGCTTCTGCTGGTGCTGCGGACCCGGGCGTTGGAGCTGCTGCTGGTGCTGAGGACCCGGGCGTTGGAGCTGCTGTTGGTGCTAAGGACCCGGGCGTTGGAGCTGCTGCTGGTGCTGCGGACCCGGGTGTTGGAGCTGCTGCTGGTGCTGAGGACCCGGGCGTTGGAGCTGCTGCTGGTACTGCGGACCCGGGCGTTGGAGCTGCTGCTGGTGCTGCGGACCCGGGCGTTGGAGCTGCGACTGGTGCTGAGGACCCTGGTGTTGGAGTCCCTGCTGGTGCTGCGGACTCGGGCGTTGGTACTGCCGCTGGGGGCACTGGTGCTGTCCCTGCTGTGTCTGGAGTCGCCGCGCGCCCTCAGTCGTACTTCGTTTCGCTCCTTTAGCAGTTTCTTGGTCTCTCGCCTCCTCCTGGTCCTCATCCTCCTTTAGTGTGTCCACAGCCTGTTCAGTCACTGCCTGCTCCTTCCCCTTACTCTGGACCTACTGACGGTCTTACTGAGCGTCGTGAGCCTGCGTCTCGCCCTGCGTCGCCTGTCCGTCCTTCTAGCACTAGTGCTCGTAGTTCGCGTCCGCGTCCCCCTCCTGCCCCTAGCACGCACCGGATGTCTCTGCGTCCGTCCACTGCTCCTCTGCGTGCCCCTTTGCCTTCTCCTCCTCCTTCCTCTCTTCCTGCTCTTGCCGACCCGGAGTCGGACTCCCTTCGTGCTGCCAGTCCTACTGTCACGCGTCTCCTTGCTACTGCTATCACTGACCCTTCTTTCGAGTCTTCTACTGCGTCTGCCCTTGTCACTGAGCTCGTCGACTTTGCTGCGCGCTGTCGTCTAGACTACGCTGCTAGTCTTGTAGCTGAGTCTGAGTCTGCCTGTCCTCCGTCCGTCGGGGGTGAGTGTGCCCTTGGCACGGACGTCCTTGAGGACAGACAGGAGGAGTTCCAGTGTCTGGCTGCCGCTTCACCTCATCTCGCGTCTGTACTGCTCGCCCCTGAGGGAGACCCGGATGCACTAGACATCCCGACTCCGCGCTCTTACACGGAGGCGATAGAGGGTCCCTACTCCTCTCAGTGGCAGGCAGCTATGGATGCAGAGATGGCTTCCTGGAAGTTCACAGGCACTTACGTTGACGCTGTCCCCCCTCCTGGGGCGATCATCGTCAGTGGCATGTGGATTTTCAGGGTGAAGCGGCCGCCGGGTTCTCCGCCTGTCTTCAAGGCGCGTTACGTGGCTCGTGGCTTCAGTCAGCGGCAAGGAGTTGACTACTTTCAGACCTTCTCCCCCACCCCGAAGATGACCACTCTTCGGGTACTG